TGTTGTTCATAGATAAATTATATAATTTTAAATGCTACTTGCATGTATGCAAATATACAGATCTGTGTGGACAAAATTGACTGTGATTGAGAATATAGATGAGTGGGTAGAAGCAAGTGGATGCAATAGCATTTCCAATGTATACAGTATATGATGTAATGTATATTTGATCATTTAAGTATGTAATATTTACAGACTAATTAATAGTAATCTACATAGTCTGCAAAGTTTTTCAAGATGTAGGCTTCTTACTTAAAACCTTAAAACTGCAATACTTTAATTTTTTTTAAAGAAAATTTTAAAAATTAATGACATACTTGAAATTTACTTCAGAAATATATCATGTAATTTTAATTGTAACATGTATCTTCCAAATTATTGTTTATGCAATGAAAATTTAATTAGATTTAGCTATATACCTAACCTTAACAAGCATTCATATCTGCAAGAATCATTTATAAATAACCATATTATTTTATGATTTTAAAGATAATATGTTTGTAAAAGGAAAAAGTTTTTACTAGGAATGTTTATAGCTTAATTGTGAACATATTGCTCATTAATTAAAATGAGCAATATGTTCACAATTGAGAGTTCAAAAGTTACTTTGTGTGTGTATTTGTTTAATTCTTGAATTTAATTTGTAAGTTATAATTCTTAGCTTAAAAATAAATAATTGCAGCTATATTCATTACGTATTTCAATATTTAAATCCATTTAAAAAATTTTATTTTAAAGATTAATGACATATCAACTTTAATATCAAATTTATCTATTATTATTAACTAATTTTTTAATATTTATTTTATTATGTATACTTTCTTGACCAATAAAAAATAATAGTAAGATTAGTATTTATAAATAGTAAATTCACTTTATTTATTAACTTATGTAGTCTTAGCATGGCATTTAATGTCACTTTAATGCTTTCTTATATTAGAAATTAATGAACTTTATTGATAAGACATTTGTTTAATTTATTATCTATGCTATCTACTTGAAATGTCTGCCTACATGTGGTAGATATTAGATAGTTTGGATTCACTTTTCAGTGATTCACCATATAACAATTCATCTTAGTTCTGCTCATTATCACTTGCTTTACATAATCTATATAATTTTACTGTTTTTTTGTCTAATTTTTAACCCATCTATTTTCATTGTATTGAATTATATTCACAGGCTATAAGAATACTGAAGGTGCTTCTTTTTCATTTATTGCATTATAAGTTGTTTTCTAGGAAAAGAGCTATTAAGCAATAGACTAACACATCTTTTAATCAGTCACATATGCTTAAAGTTGCATAACACTTTAATATATAAAATAAATTATTTGAAAAATAATGAAAATTTAGAAATAGATAAAACAAAAGACAAGTGATAAATAACCTGTTATAATGGAAGAATAAAAGTAAATAGTAGGCTAGGCTATATTATAAAAACATGAAAGAAAAATTATTAAAACTTCAAATTTTGAAGATTCAAACATTTCTCAAAATTTAGTGTAAATAGAAAATGCATTTATGAATATAGGAAATCAAAATATATGGTTATCAGTTTTTAAAAAATTTTGTACAGATTTTGATACTCAAGAAGTTTTTCTAAATGTTTATTAGCAATGTTATTCTAAATAACAGTGCTATAATAAATTCATTTATTTTTATTTATATTTTTAATACATTGTATGTCCAAATTTATAAGTTATAATAGAAAAAAATTGTATACCACCAATGAGTGAAATTCAAATCTTATAATTGGCAATGCTGACCAATATAGTATGGAAACTTGATAAAAAAATTACTGTACTAAAAGTAACAGAAAAGAGGAACTTTATTAAAATCCATAAATAATTTTGCATGTTTTTCTTCAATGCAACCAATTTTGAGTCAAACGAACAGTTTGATTCTTATTGGGCTACATTAATGAATAAGATATTAAGCAATTTGGATGGAGTTAGATGGTTAATACTGTACAGAATCATTGCCAATTACACCACCCAGACCTCCAGTTTTTAATGCATCTGCATGGTAAGCAGGGGAGGTTTGTGGGTTTGAGTCCCATTCTGGGCTGATCTTTTCATCTGAAATATTCTAAATTAAATTTATTCATTTTTAGTTATTAAATTTATTGTTAAATGGAAACTTAACCATCTATCTGTGGCCAAATTGCTTAATATCTTATTCACTATTAATTAGCCTTAATGTAGCATGATAAGAATCCAGCTGTTTGTTTGATTACTAAAGTTTATTAGGTTGTTTGTATATGTTACAATTTCAAACCATTCAAAATATGCATAGAATAATTTTTAACAAAAATGCTTTTACCTGTAAAACATTCTTATTAAACTCCTTAAAAATTAGGTCTAAACATCTTAAAAATAACAAGCCATTCTTCAAAGCATTTTTGAGAAAAAAGTTCATATTCTACAATCAAATAGTTGTAAAGAGATGGATTGAATGTAACAAATCTGAACATTTTCTCTTTCTGATGATAAATAACAAGTTTTTTGAGTGCAAAAATTAAGTTGTTTAAACTACAGACTTCTATAAAGATTTTTTTTATCATAATGGAGTTTTTTGTGCATGGAATGTATTTAAAAAGTTGTTATTCTAATTTATTTGAAATTGATTTTATTATAATCAAATAAAAATGATGATAATTTAAGTGAATTTTACTTTTAAAGTAAAATTATCAAAATTAATACTTGCAAGAAATTCTGCAGTATTGTAATATATGTCTTATTGTTAGGTGATGTAATGTTTAATAATGACTATTTCAATGCTGATTTTACTTACTAATGTCATTGTCCTTTAATTTTTATCATTAGCACCATATAATTATGGTTTATAACAAGTACAAGTCCAGCTTCAAGTTATTTTTTGTTGTGAAAAGTATAAATTGTATTATTAAACTTTTCCTCCTGTCAAAAATTTATAGTTATATTTTTTTTAATCAACTTGTATAAGTCTGTTGTAGGAATTTTTATAATCTTAACATTCCAAGAATCTACATAAGCTGAATTTTTAAAAGAAAATTGTTTATCAGTGAATAACCTGTCTTACATCCATAATGATTGTCCATATATTTCAACATTATTTTAGAAAATGAAATTAAAATAGTCAGAATTTTTATTTAATACACACTTAAAAAATAGAAATATCTGGTAAATTTTTATTTTTAAAGAAACTTTAAATATAGTATCTACATTATCATTTAATAATTATATTGCTTTCAATTAAATATTTTGTACACTGGTGGATTTCATATATATATGAAATCCACCAGTGTACAAAATATTTCATATATATATGAAATCATATATATATGAAATCCACCAGTATATATATACATACTTGAATGGTCATTGAATAACTTTGACTTCACTGTTAGCTGCAAGATAATGAACATTTCTTATTGTAAATGCATTAATCTGTATTATAAAATTATGCATAAATTGATAGTTTACATTTATTTCAAAATTAAAGTTTTTGTGTAAAATAAAACTTGTTTGACATTTAAATTAAAAATGTAAAATTAAGAGTATCATTAAAGTTGTTCATTTCAGTTCAAAAAGTTTTTCATTCATTCAAGTTTTTTTCAACATTAAGGAGATTTTTTTTTATCTATCTTTAAATTAACTGAAAAATATATAAATAATAAATAAATCAGTTTCATTTCTGAGAATGAAAGAGCTTTCTTTATCAGTATGATTTAATGCTCTTTCTAATTTTATATAGATAACGTAGTTTATTATTAGAATCAATTTTTTTATCTTTCTAGTATGCTTTTAACATTTTATATGAAAAAAATTTATAAAATTTGGTTTTATTCATTCAATTATAAATTTTCTGTAGACTTCAATTTTTAAAATATTTTCAATAAGAATTTCTTGCTTTTTAAAGTTTTAAATTTGTATAAATTTCAATTTCCTCAAGTGAAAATAATAACAACACTAAAAATCAATTGTTATAGTTCTACTTTTCAATATAATTTCTCATAAAAAAATGTGTCAATTTTATTTTTAAAAATATTTTTGGAATGATTTAATAGAAAAGAAATTACATGAGATTAGAAAATATGAATGCTTAATCTCTCTTCTTAAATGTTTACTTGATAACTTAAAAGCACTTGAAGTACTTATTTTTAGTTTTTGTAGTTTCTTGTAACTTTTTATTTCATTTTTTCTGTAGTTATATAAGTTTATTTTTGTAATATTTTGCTGGGTTTGTTGTTTGTATCATAACAAGATTAAAAGAAAAATAAAATGTATGCATAAATAAAGTTTTATTATTTTATGCAATTAAAAGTTGTATAAAGACAAATATAATAAAATATCTAGTGAATGTATTCTAATAATTTATATCAATATGATGATGTATTGATTTATTCTACAATATTTTTGTAGAATATTCCACAATTATTCTAGGATGTGCATGAATATTTTAATTTTTTTATAAATTGCAAACAAGTTGTTACATTAAATATTAAAATTCTATCTTAAAAATTTTATTTCTACTTTCTGAATTATTTTTATATAAAAATGTTAAAAGTGTTAGTTACTTTTATAAAATAGAACAAAGATAATGCTACTGTCTATTGTTATTTTCATTTAAATATTAAAAAATGTCCAGTGTTTTCATTAATAATAATATATTTTTGGTTTATTAATGATTCAGATTAGTCTATTCAAAATCTTTTTAGAAAACTCTAAATATGTTTTCATCTCACAATCTTCTCTCTTCTTGTTAACTCCTGATAATGGAATCTAACACCAAACTAGTTGAGTTTTGTAAGAAGTTTTTACTTAAGAAAAACAATTTGAATTAAATTGAATTTATGTTTGGGGAATTTCCTTATCAAGTTTGTGATTAAAATTGTTTTTTTGTTTTATTTATTCTAGTTTAAATTGAATAGGCCTACATGATATATGATGATGAAATTTTCATATTTTATTCATAAATTTTATTTTGATGGAAATAATAATATCTTTTACTTTATAGAATGTAATAAAACATTTGTAAATGTTGTTAACATGGCAGCAAAAAAGAAAGATGACAATAGTATCAAAACTGTTACTATTAGAGAAGGATTTATAGAAGAAGAACGAGGAGTAGGAACAATTGAAAATTTAATATTTGGTAAGTTCCTAAAGTTAAATTTGCCATAAGTTGTAAAAATTGATGAATTATTTGGCAATAATGTAATATAATAATTTTTAAAAGAAACAAACAAATCCTAGAAGTTTTATTCTATTTATAAATTCAATTGTAATGTAGCATAACTAATTCAGAAATTAATAAGTGTATTTTTAATAATAATAATAATAAAATTTCCTTCCTTGTTACAATCGTTTAGATCTTTTAAAGAATTAAAAATGACAGTAGAAATGAAGGAATTTTTGAGATTGCAAGTATAATTTTTATTCAAAGAAATCTTTGAAGGTACAAGATAAGAACCATTGTCTTAAAAGATGCAAAAATAACAAGTTATGTTTTTGAGGAGGGGAGAATGAGACTTCTAGGAGATGCTTCCTCTGGCATATGAATTTTTAAAAATTTAAATTTTTTTTTGTTTCAAATGCTACAACAGTCATCTTATAATTTTTGTATATAATCAAATAAATAAAAACATATGAATTATGTATGCAGATATGCAAAAGGAAATAACAGTAGAATCTTTAATTAATGTTTCACTTGTTTAAGATGTAAATTTCAGATAAACAATATATCTCTTATTACTTTAAAATATTTGAATAGGCTGCATATTATTATTAAATTAATCTTAAATTCTTAACATCTGCAATGCATTTTCTGTTATTATTATTTATTAATGACTTTCTTGTTTTTACATTTCTGACATCCACAATGGTTGGAGAGAATTCTATCTATCTTGACTTGAAAAATACTTATTTATAATTATTTTACTTTTATTTATTTTGTGAAATATTATAATTTCAGAAAATCTTTTATCATATTTGATGAACAATATAGTTCTTTCTCAATTCACTATTTAACTTTTCATTAATGAATTTGTTATCTTGTTTATTTAAAAAGCAGAGAAACAAACCTTTTGGTATACAATGATGTATTGTTTAAACTACTTAAATATTCAAACAATGTTTTTTGTTTCTTCTAGATCCTTCTTAGCATTTATAATTTAAATGGAAACCTAAAAAATATACAGTAATATCTCAACTTACGCAAACCCAGAGTTACGCGATTTTCGAGTCTTGTCGATTCATCTTTTGTTTGAGTGCCACGCAACTCTCGATTACTCACTCCCCTCTCACTATTGTTCAGCTTACATGTTTGGACATGTCACACAGAATTGACACACAGTTACAATTTATTTTGTGTTATTTATTTTTGTGTTTGTTATATCTGTGTGGTGGTTTCTTATAACTGTGAACAAATCAAAAGACGAGATAAGATTAATGAGAACATTTATTAGCTTACATACATCTGACTTGAATTTTACACAAATTGCGAAATTATACCTCGACTTACGTGAATTCGACTTAAGCGGTTATTGCTCAGTCCCATCTATTGCGTAAGTTCAGGGTATTAGTGTATATGCTTTAAGTTTTGTTTGAATCAATAGATGTATGAGAGTTTTTTTAAATATATTATCATCATGTCCATTTTAGCATGAATTTTGAAATGATTATTAAAATAAAATAGATATTAGATGTAAAAGAAGAGTGAGTTGGTTCAAAAAAAGACAAAGCCTGCAATAACTATAGTTTACTACAACAAGAAATTGTAATCTAAAAACTCTACAAATTACAATGACCATGTTCAAAGAATTCAACAGTTCCAGAATAGTTGAGTATTTTTCTACTATATGTCATCTACAGAATTACTAGTTCAGAATCTGTTGAATATATTGACATCACATTTAGTAGAATACATTGATCCCCATGTTTGTGAATAATTAGAACTGAGTATTATTCCATTTCCTGATTGGTCGAAACTTTTGTAAAAGGTTTCAACCAATGGGCAGAAATGAATGATTGAATTTCTGACCATTGGTATTCGTGAACATTGAGGGTTTAGTGTATTTCATTTACTGTACCTTTGGGTAGATTAAATCAAATCATAACTGATCAAAGATTGCTGCACCAACATAATAAGGAAAGTGCATACTATTTACATATATGAAAGTATTCATTATAGCAGGGTTTTCACATCTGTGTATAAAGTAGAGGGCTGCTTTTGATTATACCACTGCACTTCGGAGTGTAAATTGAAATAATAAGAACAATGGCAATTATCATTCTTGTATTATTATTAATAAAAAAAAAGAGAGAAATCATATTTCTTGTAAATTAGATTGAGTGATACTGACTGCATACAATGCTACCACAGGCCACTGGTTGACATTACACATCAGTATTAATCCATCTATACACAATTATTAGCAACTAAAAACTGATGCATGCAAAATCATTTTGTAAAGCAAAATTTTGTTAAATTAATTTAATGTTCATTTGTTAAATGTCTAAGTTTGTGGAAAAGACAGAAACTACTGTAGCACTGCCAACCACTTGCATCAACTTATAATTTGATGTTCAGCAGATTCATTGCCATTATACTGGTTGATTAGGACCACTGTGATATATATCATGCCACAGAGGTCCTGAATCATCCTGTGTAATACGAGGGCTGTTCGGAAAGTTTGCAGCCTCACATAGAAAAACAAACAAAATAATATTAAAACTTTTTTATTTTTCAAAGTAATCTCCTCTGTTAGCAATGCACTTATTCCAGCAATGATCTAGCTTTTTTATGCCATCACAATAGGTCGATTTGTCAAGGTGTGCAAAATACTCGTTCACTTCAGAGATGACTTCGTCATTTGAGTGGAATCTCTTTCCAGCCAAGAATTTTTTTAGGTTTGGAAAAAGGTGGAAGTCACTGGGGGCCAAATCAGGTGAGTACGGTGGATGTGGAACTAATTGAAAGCGAAGTTCGTTTATCTTTTGTTCAGTGATTCTGGCGAAATGTGCAGGTGCATTATCGTGGTGGAACAGAACTTTTTTCTTCTTCAAGTGTGGCCTCTTTTCTTCGATTTCTTTCTTCAGTTTTTCCAAAAGTTCACAGTAATAGACAACATTAATGGTCTTTCCTCTTTCTAGGTAGTCAATAAAGATGATGCCTTTAGCATCCCAAAAAAACCGAGGCCATCACTTTACCCGCTGATGGAACTGTCTTTGCCTTCTTTGGTGGTGGCGAACTGTGGTGTTTCCATTGCTTCGACTGTTCTTTTGTTTCAGGAGTGTAATAATGGATCCACGTTTCTTCAGTAGTCACAAACCGACGCAAGAAATCCTGTGGGTTTTTCTGGTAGAAGTCCAAACACTCCTTTGACATCAAAGTGCGAACATGTTTTTGCTCGGCGGTCAGCAGATGCGGCACCCACCTTGCTGAGACCTTCGTCATAATGTGGTGCACTCGGTCGACAGAGATGCCTGTTGTCTCAGCTATCTCACGCGTTTTCAAACGGCGATCTGCTAATACCAAATCGTGAACTTTGTCGATGTTTTCTTCAGTGACAGCAGTTGACGGCCATCCACTGCAAGGGTCATCTTCCACACTTTCTCTGCCAGATTTAAAAAGGGCTGTCCATTTTTTCACAGTGGTGTACGAAGGAGCAGACTCTCCTAAAACTTCATCCATGTCGGCTTTGATTTGAGATGGGGTCAACCCTTTTTTCGTCAGGTATTTTATGACCGCACGAGTCTCCGTCTTCTCCATTTTTGACAAAGCATGTACAGTACACACTGACTATCTGCTAAGCTGTCATGGCAAAACTTTTTGACAAATCAAGCGGAAATTGGTATCGTCTCTTTAGCAAAGATGGCTGAATTATTCCCGCCAAAAATTAAATTGATCGCAACGCCGCATATAGGCAAGGCCGTGAACTTACCGAACAGCCCTCGTAGTTAGTACCACCATACCTATGTTCTATTAAAAATATTGGGTCTGCTGAATGTGACCAATAATTATCATCATCAAAAGGTGAAATCAGGGCATTTTGCAGATTTTCAAATTCTATCCAGATAACATTTCTAGGTAAAAACGTGAAATTAATATCTAGTAGCCAAATCTTAATAAGGAAGCAGCAAATAATGATTTGGTTGATTACTGAATATTCAGTTATTATGTCCTTCACTTGGCAGTCAAATAATCAAAATTTTATGAGTTAACAAATATATTAGAAAACACAAAATAAATTTTTTTTAAAACAAAAAAACTTACTAAAGTTTTTAACAAAATTTTATGTAAATAGATACAGTATTTGCTCTATATTGTCTACTTTCACACTATAAAATAAATTTGAAATTGAAAAAATTTGCATAAAATATTTATAACAGTTGTGTGACAGATCTTTATAGATTATTTTGCTGTAATCATTTGTTCATTTATAAGACCAGTAAATAAAAACCTTGCTTGCCTATATTAAATGTGTAGGCTCTGATACTGCAGTTAAGGCTAGATTTTCAATTGTCTGATCAAGGACTTTCTGGTTATTGAAGGATAAAAGATCATCAAGGATATCAGTTGATATTTAAAATTAATTTCTTGAAAGATTTAATTATTTGAAATTGATTAATAAAATTTAACATAATACATAATACAATAATGATCTGAAACTGTGGATATTTTAACTAATTTGTAACAAAGTGAAGTAAAAATTTTTTTCAGGTAATCAAAATGCTAAAGCGGCTCTACCCCAGTCAACAATAAGAGGTGGTGCTCAATGTAACTGTTGTCCCTATGGATATCATATTGATTTAGATTTTGTTACTTATTGTGAAGAATTATATAATGGTACTTATCATCATAATGCTAAACATCATTTATGCAAAGAACATCACAAGCATCGAAAGTCTCCTGAAATCTCTATGGGAATCCGCAGTCACCTAGCAAATAGGTTTCGCAATAAAACTGGTGATTCTTCATTACTTGTAAGTACATTTTAAAGTGAAGTTACTAAATCTTTAATAATAAACTAATATTTTTCACATTAAATAAATTTATTTATTCATATTTAGTATGATGCACTTAATGGAAATATGAAAATTACTGACCAAAATAACAAGTATATTCATTGACAATCTGTATAAATCAAAAATACATCCGAACAAGAATTTTATATTTATTAAATAATTTTTAATTAAACAAATAAAAAAAATTATAAAAATTTTTCATTAATATATTGTGTGTTTAAGTAGCTAATATTCAAATTTGAATTACATAGGTTATCTGAAAAATTCATGCTGCATTTCATTATAAGTTTCACAATGAAGATTATAATGCCTAATTTAAATCAAGCACTTGATAAATATACATTTTTATATGTGGTGGTGATCATTAAGTGTAATTATGGTTAATGAAACATATTCTGACTTAATTCTAGAGCAGTAATAACTACAAAAATTATTATTCCATGATTTTAGAATTAATTTGATAATTCTAGTATAATAATAATAATAGTATGCAATAATATGTGATATTTTAAAAAACAGTAATTGCAAGTATACAAATAGTGTTTTATTGTTTACTACGGTGGCAATTATTTGTTAACAAATGCTACAGGATTTCAACACTAATATAAATCCATAAAAGTGCATATATTTTAGAAAAAACTTCAACATTTCATATGATAAAATATTTTTTAATACTTATTGTATTAATCAAAGAAACAGATATGGTCATCTCTCCTACATGTAATAATGCTGTATTAAATAGCATATATCAAAACTTTCTACAGGTTTGAAATTATTTCAGATTATTCTTGAATATATATCTATTATAATATCATTTACATATAATTCTCAACTACATTTAAATGTGTGTTTTAAAAGTTCAGAATGATTGAAAAGACTGGAGATGAATTTTTATGAACCATACAATGTACAGTACACTGGGAAAATGACTAGATGGAAAGATAATACATTCTTTATTCTTACATCAATGACAATAATTTCCTTAATGTTTTATCTGTCAACACAAGGCTTGATTAATATGTATACAATCTCCTGACAGTGGATGACACTAATGTTAAAAATCCTGGAGAATGCATTAATGAAAGCTGCAACAATCTCCTAACATCTGAAAAAATTGTTTTCTACTAAAAGAAGTAGAGTTGTTTATACAATGATAATCTTAAGAGTTACTGCAATATGATAACTAATATATCAAACCAAAATCAGTGTTTGTTGTCAAAGTAAATACTGTACGAAAATTACCATTTGGAGTTGGTCAGTGGTCACAAAGCATGGTTTTGTTATCTAGTTCAGTATATTTTTGTTTTATTATTTGAATTTATATTATTTTAATTTTACTTTCAGAAACTTGATAATTCACTCAACTATAATGAAAAATGGAAGGCATATCAAACTTGTCATTCACATGACTCTCATAAATCACCACTAACACCACTAAAAATTGGTATTAGTATTGATACAACAGATGCACACTTGAGTAATATTCGTTTATCTCCACAATCTCAAAATGATGGACCATCTTTAACACCACCATTTACAACTTCGCACTCTCGAAGTGGATCCAACACGTCTTTGTCTTCCACATCTACAGAATTTAATAATCATTTTCATCATTCCAACAATTCTTCTAAGGTTTTCTTTATACTGCTTTTACTAAATTTTAATTAAAAAATAATTATTAATTTTATGATATTTAATAATGTAATTACTAATTAAACTTTAGCCTAATAGATTACTATAATAATTTGTTTATAGTTTTTTAATTTTTATAGTGCACATGTGGATCACAGCAAATAGCAGATACTATGGCTGCATTGAATTCAGCTAGTGTTATCCAAAGTGGCTTACCACCAGGTTATGTTGGCATAAATACAAATGTATTGTCTACCATACGATCTCAAGTGGCCACCAGTCTACAGCGCATGAAGGAACTTGAAGAGCAAGCAAAAGCAGTACCTGTTTTACAAGTAAGATGATGATGATGATATAAATTAACAATTGGGAATGCAATAAATATAGAATTATTATTTTATATTTTTTTTTATAAAAAAAATTTTAAAATACAGATTACTTTACATTAAAAATAAATTTAAAGAAAAATTCAAAAATTATTCACATAATTTTTCCCTAAATTTTTATCTTTTATTGTCAGATTGAATACTTTTTTTTTTTTTTTTTTACAAAAAATTTAAATTTATATTTTTTTTTATAAAAAAAATTTTAAAATACAGATTACTTTACATTAAAAATAAATTTAAAGAAAAATTCAAAAATTATTCACATAATTTTTCCCTAAATTTTTATCTTTTATTGTCAGATTGAATACTTTTTTTTTTTTTTTTTTACAAAAAATTTAAATTTATATTTTTTTTTATAAAAAAAATTTTAAAATACAGATTACTTTACATTAAAAATAAATTTAAAGAAAAATTCAAAAATAAGGTACAGTATAAATGGCTTTGTTTTTAGGCATGTTTTTGTTAAATTTGTTTTTCACTAAAAGATTATTTCTGCAATTTGTATAACATCTTTAAACATTTTCATTCTGAGTTGATTCAATTTCCATTCCATTATTTGTTAAAGTATTTTATGCTTCCTAATTTTTTTATTCTCATAAATATGTAAGCATTTGTAAAATTTTTTATAGTTATTAATTTTGTTCAATGAATGCTAAGAGAGCTATGATTTACACACAAAAGGGTTGTTCTATATTAATTACACCAAAATATCTTGATTTTTGTATAATGTAAAGTTAATAAATTTGTAACAATTATAATGCAATACGGTAGTGGCCATGGAAATAAAAACTGAAGTACAGTCGACTCCCCCCCTATAAGATCATAGATACGTTCCATTTTTAGGAATCCGATTTCTTACGAGTCGTTCCAATCACAGCCCGACACGTGTAAAGGTTACGGACTACGGCTGATTGAAAGGTTTTCTTCCATAAAATTAATCGATTCTAGACTAATCCGACTCAACATTTCCAAATTACGTATATATTTTTTGGAAATAATCCGTATAAACTATGCTATAAACAAAAAATTGTAGGATTACTAACAGAGTGTGCACCGAGTGATGCTTGTTTTTGTTGTGGAGCGTCCCTCCGCGACAAAAACAAGCATTAGCAATGACGAAAGTTTTCTGATGACTTATTTTTCTGCGAAAACTTCGTTAAACTTCAGAGACATCATTAATATAAATAATTTTTATCGCCGTTGAATAAGAAATGTTTCTTTCACAAGAAATGTATAAAATTACAGTACTGTATTAGACTTACGGTACCTAATTTACATACTGTACAGACGATAGTTAGCGTAAAATCTCCGTAGCGTAACGCCACGCGGTGGAAAAAATATATATAATTATAATAAAGTTACAATAAATTAAGTTAATATATATTTATATATACAGTACATAATTTATATATAATTAATATATAATTATATGTACAGTACCTAATTTATATAATACTGTCCAGACGATAGAAATTTCTCCGTAGTTGGCACTACGGACGGCGGGAAAGTAGTTCGGCTGCCTGATGACGTTTGAGGTAATTATAGGGGGTGTTTTTACTGTTTTTTACGGATACCGGTCACAATTTTTTCGTAGTTTTATAGGAATCGTAATTATAGGGACCGTAATTATAGGGGGGTCGACTGTAATGCAATTTTTAAAATTATTGTTCCTTGCAGATCTGTAGTAAAAAGATTGCTTTTCATTGGCTGACCAAGTCTACTGTAGCATTCTTAACTTAAAGCATCTCAACCTGCAAGAACATACTGTGTTGTAATCATTGCACAGGTATAAAAACAAGTGCACAAACTGCACAATGTTGGCTTTTAGATTCACATTTCACAGACAGGTTTTTCTGATCTAAAAAACATGTGGAATCTGTTATGAACTCTATTTTCTTCATGTGTGTGAATTCTGATCCCAAAAGTTCTCATTCACCTGTTTTTCCCTGTTTTTTGTGTTGGCAAACTGTATATTAGTCTGCATTTATGCAATCAGATCTATAATAATTAGTGATGCAATGAATAGTATATTTGGCCTCAGGCTGAATACTGAATGTTCAGCCAAACTATTCGGCTTGATTAACGCACGTATGAAAATTGGTGCGCAAACCGCATTATGGCAAGGATCGCACATCCTGCTCTCTATTGGCTCACTGTCACTATGCTTCGCCAATCGCGTTAATTCTTGACAGTTATAGTGAACATACATGAGCGTCATGGCAGTATGTGATAAGTGATGATATCAAATGTGGATAACAATGAAATGACCTACACGTGTAAATAACAGAAAAAGAACAGAGAAGGACTGCGCAGTGAAAATGTGAAATTAAATATGAAATTGAGTTGATAACGTAATCGAACAAGTTGAGGCAGCTTATTGGCGCGAAATTCGCTGCTGTCAATGCCAAATAATTGTTGTCATAGATTTCAGAAAGGTAAATGCTTGTAACGAAAGTCACTTAGCGTGCATGGGCAAAAGCCTGGGGCTGTTCAGGCTACCAAGCTGTCTGGAACTTCAGTTATGATAAATAATTTTCTACAATGAAACAAAAAACTTAATTTAATTTTCAAGTTTATAATAAGGGATGATTTCATAAAAATGCTTTACAGATCATTAGATTGAAACTTAGGTCATAATAATTAATGTGCTCACTCAGTAAAAATATTCATACAAATTTTTTACACTTTTCACCCCTTTAGAGTTGAATTTCGTAAAATCTTTTCTTAGCACACCTACACTTAAAAATTTACAAAAGGAACAAACCCTCAAAGTTTCTAGCACCAGTAGGCTCTGCATTAATTATCCTATCAGGACTTGTTCTTTTATATACGAGTGTATAGATGACTAAACTATATAATAAGTAGGTAGTTTTCATTTGATTTGTTACCTTTTGTTGATCTCTTTAAAATTATTTACAAGGGGACCTTACGGTCTCGGAAATTCAGTTCGGAATGAGACTTTGCAGGTTAGTAGTATACCTCAAGGGTGTCCACCCAGAAGAATTGTAAAGCGCACTAGCCAGAAGATTCCGAGAAAAAGGGCTCAAAAGTTTTAAGCACAGCTCATATACTGGTTTATTATTTGAATTTATATTATTTTAATTTTACTTTCAGAAACTTGATAATTCACTCAACTATAATGAAAAATGGAAGGCATATCAAACTTGCCATTCACATGACTCTCATAAATCACCACTAACACCACTAAAAATTGGTATTAGTATTGATACAACAGATGCACACTTGAGTAATATTCGTTTATCTCCACAATCTCAAAATGATGGACCATCTTTAACACCACCATTTACAACTTCGCACNAGATTCCGAGAAAAAGGGCTCAAAAGTTTTAAGCACAGCTCATATACTGGTCGATTTTACACTATGGCAACACAGCGAAATGGCCGAGTCTGTAGTGAACTCACTTGCTATGCAGGTGGTCCAGGTTCCATCCTACCTTTGGCTAACCTTTTTTTTAATTAATTGATAATATTTTTAGATCATTAACTTTTATGATCTAAAAATATTATCAATTAAAAAAAAGGTTAGCCAAAGGTAGGATGGAACCTGGATCACCTGCATAGCAAGTGAGTTCGCTACAGACGCGGCCATTTCGCTGTGTTGCCATAGTGTAAAATCGACCAGTATATGAGCTGTGCTTAAAATTTTAGAGCCCTTTTTCTCGGAATCTTCTGGCTAGTGCGCTTTACAATTCTTCTGGGTGGACACCCTTGAGGTATACTACTAACCTGCAAAGTCTCATCCCGAACTGAATTTCCGAGCCTGTAAGGTCCTCTTGTTAGTTATATTACTTTTCCTTTGATCTTTTACATAAACAAGCAAAAAATTGCTCTTTCTCAAACTTAAAATGTATGTTCAGCATTAATAAAAGTTACAAAAACATAGTAAATTAATTATTTTAGCTATTTCTTACTCCTGTCTTTAGGTGTTCAGCCGAATACCGAATAGTAACCAAATATTTGTTGCATCATTAATAATAATTAAAGATGGATTAATCCAAAATCATGTGTGTTATGTACAAAAAATGCACCAGTTTCTCTCTCCTGATCAGTGTTGCTTTAATGAGTTTTACAATGAAATAAAGTCTAATATTTCTCTCCTTTTTATTTAACTTTTCCTTCTCACTTTTGCATGAATGCAACTAGAGGGAAAACAAGGCGAATACTCCTGTTGACATGTGACCTTGGTTTTTCCTCTCCTGTTGCATTTCTCCCATCTGCATAATCATGGTTTTAGGCCTACACTGTCTGCATCAAGCAATTCCTGTTAAAATTTCCAGTAAGTCGGAGGGTGTGGGGATGCATATAATTAATGGTGTCAGCAGACTTTGCTTTATAAATGAATCTGTGAATGCAGAATATTACAAAAACATATCTGCCAACCCAATTCCAATAATCAAGAAATAATTTCATGACATGAACTTGTTCCATGATTATTAGAATAAGGTTGGCAGATAAAACAGTCATCCTGGAAGATACATTACTTGATCTTATGTCAATATGCCATGATGAGTATAGTGTGTCATCTAGTTTTTTTTTTTAACATTAGTGTCACTTTGTTAAACTGACTGATGCATTGTTGTTTAGATAATGTTACTACAAGAGGTTCAAATCAGATGCCTAACATGGTCATGTACAGTCTTACTGGCGTATTAGGGATGAAGAAATTGCAAAGAAGTCTTCTATACCAAACTCTGAAAATAAATTATAGTTGCAGGAGTGTATTAGAATACTTGAAGAAATTTATCCACCCTGTCAGAACATCACATTTAAGTTTAAAAAAATGCAATGTGAAATAACATTTACTTATGAAAAGTGCTCATTAACAGTATTGATGAGGCTGTGAAGGCAATTCCTTATGGCAAACTGTTCATGCAAATTTATTACAGCATTAAAATTCTTTTAGATTTTTGACTATATACAATATCATAAGACATGAAAATTGCATCACCGATATAAAATGAAGGTATTTGGCTAACTACATACCATATATTTACAAATTAACTCATTCTAAACAATTAAGATAAAAATCTCATATAGTCATAATCTCTTTGGTTAAACACACTACAGTGGAACCTCGCTTAACGAGCATAATTTGTTCCAGAACCTTACTCATAATGTGAAGCACTCATTAAGCAAAACAATTTTTCCCATAGAAATTAATGAAAAATATGATAATGCGTTCCATGCTGAAAAAATACTCAAATACCATATTTACTTGCATATATGACAAAGTTTTTATTCATTTTTCACTGCTTCAAAATCCTAGGTTGTCCTATACACATGAGTGAAGGATCCTTTGCATTTTTGCGAACTGTGTATAGTTCATGCTACCATTATAGCAGTGCACTATTGAAGTCAAGGTGAATGTTGCTTTTAAAGAGATGATCCAAAAATATCTGGTCACTTAGCAATGAATATTTGTGCATTCTGAATCATTAAAAATAAACAACTCATCCTAGACTGCAATTTCTAACTAACTAAAACACGCTCAAGAAAACCTTTAAACATGCAGCCGTATTTATTAAATTTAACGTTTTCGGTCATATTCTATGACCTTTCTCAAGAAAAACAGAAAAAATCGAACTCCGAACTTGAATTAACGATACAAGCGTTTTGGAACGTTTTTTAAAAATAATATTCTACTGGAATAACGCCATCTCTATATAACGGTTGTCATTATATAAATACATTAGCTATTAGAACGTTAAAAATATGACGTTCCGGATATAAAATAAAGATAAAAATAAAAATACAGACATAAAATACCAAACATACACAATGTGTTTAGCAAATACATTAAATTAAGAATTTTTGCCCTTAAGTAAGTTGCCGCTGTCCATCGTTCTTGACTTTATAATATACTTGCTCGCCAGGCTGCCGATACTTTGCTTGAATCTCGGAAGTTGATAGCTAATCCTTTTTGGCTTGCTTTGCAGATATGCCAGGCTTCAGCATACCGGAGGTGCTTTTTGTCGCGAACTATTTGTATCAATCTGGCTTGGTCCCATTCAGCTTTGACCTCTTGAGGGTCAGCTAAGACGTAAGTCGCCAGCGCTGTGCACGGTTGTTCGCTTCTTATGTTTCTCTGGTGTTCTGCCATCCTTTCTTTGAGGGATCTTCCGGTAGCTCCGATGTAGAACATCATATTCTGCCTCCGCGTGTCTGTAACGGGGATTCTGTAGACCCCTGGAAGAGCGTTCTTGTCTACGCTATCTTTATCTGCCCTTAGCAATTGATAAATAGTAGGATTCCTTTTGTATATTATTCTCTTCTTCGTAGCTGCTCCTATCCGCCTATAGACACTGCTCAGTGAGGCCTTATATTCCATCATTGTGAACTCTTCTGTATTTTGTACGTTTCGCACCTTGCTACGTGTNGCATCCTTCTAAATATAATTATATTTTTATTATGGTGCTTCTCTTGTTGATTTTTCTGGATCTGCCATTGTATTTAGATTTAAATAAAATATCACTTGTTTATTTCTTTACTTTTTAATGAGAAAATTATTAAGTTTTCTGCACACAGAGAAACATTAATAACTTATATTGAACAAAGACATAATAACAATAAATAATTGAAAGCAGTTTTTAGAAGCAAATGGCCTAAAAATGTTAAAAACATTTTAAAATTGAGATTTTTATTAATTAAGTTGATAATTTATATATTTTGTTTACAAATCTTTTTATGGATGATTACTATACATATTTTTTTATTTAGGTAAAACTCTCTGTATTAAATGAAGAAAAACGATTACTATTATTACAGTTAAAAAATAAATCCCAAAATTTAGAACAAAAATCTATCAACAAAGGAGAAAATGACATAAAAGGAAATGATGACAGTTTATCATATGCTGCAACCTTACCACGATTTAGAAAGCGAACCTTATCAGGAACATCTTTGGGCAGGAGTGAAGTTCCAATGTATTCAAGCACAGGACACCTAACATATAGTCTTGATGAACCCTTAGAAAAGCATAATGTTATTGATCTAAAAGATTTCCATTCTCATAAGAGAATCTATGATAGCATAGAGAAATTTGTGAATAGTGATAATGATAGCATTTGTTCAGTGAAGGAACTTAGAAATGTTGGAACATCTTGTGCTGTTCTCACAAGAGACATTGGGGTAGGTCATGTTGCTGAAAGACAAAGGTCTGTTGGTATTGGTGATGAAAAAATATCTACAAATCCTAATAAAATGTGTGTAAAATGTGGAACATCTACAATTAGAAGTGATATTTTATTAGACTCACTTTCATCATCTGAATTTGCAGGAAGTGAATCAGATGGTGAGAGTAATAAATTTTTACAAAAAAGAATTTTATCAAAACAAATCAAAACATTGAAAACTGAAGATAAAGCTGTTTTAACTGATCCCATTGTTGAAACTTCCAAAAGTCTAAAATTAACATCTAATAAAGGTGAACAAATTTCAATACTTCCATTTCCTCTTCCTTGTACAAAATGTGAAGAAAAAGCCGCAATAAAATATAAAAGCATTGGAACTAATCCAAAATTAATCGATACATGTTTCAAGTCATCTGGAGTGAATACTGATCGTGTTATATTAAAACATTCTAATGTTTCTACAGATAATCCTAAATTACTTACTGTTGGATCTATTACTGACAAAATACTTTCAGAGTCTGTAGATATAGAAACAGAACTTTCTTCAAACGATATTGATGCATTACTCTTGCTACAGCAGAAACGTAAACAAATGAAAGACAAAGGAACTGGGGTACCCCGACCATTACTTGCTAATGTCAGAATTCAAACTATTTCAAATACAAAAGATTCAGCAACTTCTATAAATATTGAAACTCAACCTATTGGAATTCAAGTTAACATACCAGTTAAAAGTCCTGAAGAGATTAAACAGGAATCTAGCCAAACTCTTCCAAGTCGTTTTCAGAAACATAGTTTTGAAGAGAAAAAGATTATTAACAAAAGTGTACAAACTGATAATATTCAGACAATTGATGCTAGTTGTGGAAGCTGTTCCATTCATGATACATTTTGTAATAGATGTGAGTTACGACAAATGGAAACTATAGGTGTCGGTGATCAAAATTTATATGATGTCTTATGTGATCGTTGTCAAAATGTAAAACTTACAGATGTTGCTGTTGGAGAAGAAAAGTTTCCTGTCTTTCATTCCATTGGAATTAATACTGTTGAAACATTAGATAGGACAGTTTCTTCAAGTGATTCTGGTATTCATGTTTGTGATAAATGTAATGCTAAAATAAAACTGGTTGCTAAAGATTTAGTTGATAAAAACATGGATAATGTTCTTCATTCAGCTTTTAGTCATACTTACAAAGAAGACAATATAACTAAAACAAAAACATTTGTAAAAATTAATACAGAAACTGTGCAAAAAATTACTTCAAATCAAAAAATTGAAATCAAAGAAAATAATAATAATGTAACAGAAAAAGAGTTAGTATTAAAAATAAACTTTTTGCTGTCACATGCATTATAATCTTTTGGTTTTGCTATGTGGGTATCAGGTGCATGGAAAAGTAATCTTCAAAGCTGATAGCAGTCACTCAGGAAATACTACATTTTAAATTCACTCAACAGATCGGAGAATGATGCTTTGTGGAGTAAGAGTGAAAAAGAGAATTGTAACAAAGCTTCAGAGGGAGAGTCCAAGTAGACGAAAGGTGATAGCGTCAAGAAAACATGGTTGTTTGCCTTAATACGTGCATTTGATGATAATTTATTTGTGAGTAAAGATCAAAATAAAGAAAATTAGATTTATTAATCCAATTCTAATTTTATTTCGTTTAAAGTCGCACCTTGTCTTATACGCGAGTAAATATGGTATTTTATGTATAACATTTATTCAAAGAAAATTATACAATATACATTGTTAAGGAGTGTGAATCATTATCATCATTTCTTCTAGCACAAAATGAACCAACCTGAAATTGCAGAAAACAAAAAAAAAATCACAGATAATAGCATGACGGAGCATGCACACAATCTGGGACTTCCCTCTCCTCATCACTGCATCACTCGTTATGCAGTCATTTTTAAAAAATTTGATTTGCTCATTATCCGAGGTTCCACTGTATTACATTTTTAATGCCACTTGCTGGAGATTGTATAATATATATATATATATATATATATAAAGTATTTGTGAGTATATTAAGGCTGATTGTGACTTCTTTTGTTANAATTAAGAATTTCTGCCCTTAAGTAAGTTGTCGCTGTCCATCGTTCTTGACTTTATAATATACTTGCTCGCCAGGCTGCCGATACTTTGCTTGAATCTCGGAAGTTGATAGCTAATCCTTTTTGGCTTGCTTTGCAGATATGCCAGGCTTCAGCGTACCGGAGGTGCTTTTTGTCGCGAACTATTTGTATCAATCTGGCTTGGTCCCATTCAGCTTTGACCTCTTGCGGGTCAGCTAAGCTTACTCACACTGCAGCAGTACCCAAGACAGAAACGAAGAGCTGTGTTATATCAGTAAAATGGCTAAGAGGTATGGGGTTAATATTAAAGCTATTACCAACCAAAGTAAGACACGTAGCAAGGTGCAAAACATACAAAATACAGAAGAGTTCACAATGATGGAATATAAGGCCTCACTGAGCAGTGTTTATAGGCGGATAGGAGCAGCTACGAAGAAGAGAATAATATACAAAAGGAATCCTACTATTTATCAATTGCTAAGGGCAGATAAAGATAGCGTAGACAAGAACGCTCTTCCAGGGGTCTACAGAATCCCCGTTACAGACACGCGGAGGCAGAATATGATGTTCTACATCGGAGCTACCGGAAGATCCCTCAAAGAAAGGATGGCAGAACACCAGAGAAACATAAGAAGCGAACAACCATGCACAGCGCTGGCAGCTTACGTCTTAGCTGACCCGCAAGAGGTCAAAGCTGAATGGGATCAAGCCAGATTGATACAAATAGTTCGCAACAAAAAGCACCTCCAGTACGCTGAAGCCTGGCATATCTGCAAAGCAAGCCAAAAAGGATTAGCTATCAACTTCCGAGATTCAAGCAAAGTATCGGCAGCCTGGCGAGCAAGTATATTATAAAGTCAAGAACGATGGACAGCGGCAACTTACTTAAGGGCAGAAATTCTTAATTTAATGTATTTGCTAAACACATTGTGTATGTTTGGTATTTTATGTCTGTATTTTT